GAGTTTTAAATTGAAATAAAATCTGTGTTGGGTTTAGTATTGGCAATCCATCCATTCACTTCGTTCTCTCTCGTGAAAAAARTAATGGTCTAAGTAAAAATTAAACCAAATAAAGCGTTAATCTCTTTGATACTAAAACWCTATAATCAGATTGAATTAAAATGTAATAATGAACTATGATAATGTTTGGCGAAATAAAAATCATAGATAACCTGGAGTTCGTAAGCTGTCTAATATTATTGCTATTTTCAAGGCACAATATTATTGTTTACTTAAGAGGACAATTTGTAACCTACAAAAAGTCCAATTTATAACCTAAAGTTACAGGTTGAGTTGATCGCAGTTCAGTGCTCGACCGTAAAGCCATGATGCCAAGTACCCAAGAAGCTATATTTGCCGTGCTGTTCTCTGTTGTTCTTGTCTTCAATATAGCAGGAAACTCCCTCGTTATTTACATCATCACCAACGAACGAGGAATGAAAACATCCACAAACTATCTGCTGTTAAACTTGGCTGTAGCAGATCTTTTATTTGGTGTTTTTCTTGCTCCTGAATTCATATTCCTGCCTTTCTTTCGTCATTCCGTGCCAGATGGAGTTCTTGGTGACTGGCTGTGTAAACTACTGTTAAAAAGTAACATCGGTTGGATGGCGTCCACAAGCTTCTATTTTCACCATGAATTGCTTATCAGTTGAGCGATACTTTGCTGTTTGTCGTCCTCACACCTTTCGTCAGCGTTTCTCGCCGAAGATCGTCAAAGTGCTTGTTGTGGTATCCTGGATMTATGCTGTTGTTGTAATATCACCCTTTTTTGTTCATGCTCACTTGAAAAGAGAATCTTTACAATGCTTCATCGACTTTGCCGATGGTAAATATCACGCGGTGTACTTTTTGCTAGAAATAACATGTTCCTTGTTTCTGATGACATTTTTTTCTGCGAAAATATTCCTTTCCATCTGGTACAAGCAGACAGTCGAACCTACAGGAGAACGAGAGATCACCGAGAGAAAAAAGAAAAAGAAAGTCACTTTGTGTGTTCTTGCTTTAATTGTCACTTTTGTGGTKTGTTGGATTCCCTCGACCATTATCCACTTTCTACTTGGATTATCAACCACTCCTGAACTAACTCTAACAATATTGGTTGCTTCTCTTAACGCTGCTCTAGACCCGTATCTATTTAGTTTTCAAAGTTCGAAATTTAAGGCTTTGGTGAAAAAGGTTCTCTGCTGCAGGAAAGAGTCCTCGTAGTATGGCAAGACAAGGCAAATAAATAAATATTTTTATTAGATTCTTGTCGTTCTAGCGCTTTTCGCACTAATTGGGGACACTTTTTGCTCACACG